TCAAAAATGCAAAAAATTGCAACCTCCAGTGTACATGAGTTAAAGGAGAAGAGGTTTGTTTGGCTTAAAATTTTCAGTGGGTTCAGTCCATGGTTGACAGACTCCAGACATAGTGGAGAAAAGATGATGTACCCACAGTAACTTGGAAGCAGAGACAGGAGCCAAGGACATGAGTGTCCCCTTTCAGGCTATATCCTGGTGGTCACCTCCAGCGAGGCCTCACCTCTTAATAGTATGATCTCATCCATGAACCATTTCACTGATAAGTACAGTGTTGCCATGAGCCAGTCTCCTTCCATACACCGGGGCCTTCAGGAGGGACATTTTAAATATAAACCATATAGAAGTTGATGATTTTATTATATGACCTAGAAATAATGTTGAGTGCTGAGATGGTCTAATGGTTTTATTCTCTGTAATTAAAGCAGGAGCATGTTAAACTTTGACTGTGTCCAGCACATATCACCTGAGAGTCTTGTTGTACACAGATTTTGTCTCAGTAGTTCTGGGGGAGGCCTGAGGGTCTATATTTCTGATAAGCTCCTAAATGGTGTAGGTGTTACTGGTCCCTGAATACATCATAGCCAGGAATTCTGTATAGCTTCCTTCAAATCACAGTAGTGTTATTCTCATTTGTTCCCAAAACACCCTGTATCTCCTCTAACTGTGTCACACTGCCACAGTGTAAATGGGTCCCCAGCATTCATCTGCTGGGAACTTAGTTCCCAGTGCAAAGTCTTGTAAGTTTGGCCCATAAGCAGCAATTAGATCACAAGGTGTTGCAGACCACCAAGCTGTGTTTCCTGAGAAATGGAGCCCCTTTGCCTCCATCTTCCCCTGACCTTTGCTTGAGATGCAGACCTGGGTATATTGAACCTGATATTCACTTCATTGGCTGAAAAAATGAGACTGAATCTAGCCAAGATGGCAGTATGTTTCATTGCAGCACATAGGTGAGAATTGTCCCCATCTCCCACTAAGGACTACAATGGAGGCTCCAGAAACAGCTGAGACTCCAAGACTAAATCATAGCATCTCAGGAGAGGCCATTGGAAGGGTTGTACCTTCCTGGCAGTAAAAGGTGCCAGCCTTGTCCACATCAGGTTATCTGCTGCATTGCCAAGTGAAGAACCTCTGTCCCTGGTACAAAATTGCTCTGTTTCTCCTTACGGTCAATGCCTGCAAAGTTTCTCTTCCTTGTCACTCTGTCACAATCCCGACCCACCTTCTTACTGAAACCAACAAAAGCCATAAGCTTTTGGGCTTGTGGATTTTTGTTCCACAGACACCAATGGCCATCCCATGGCTCCTCAGCTGCAGAACTATCTCTCTTTGTCTTTATTTTGCATCCAGGTGGGAGATGCCAGGTGGGAGATCTGAAGCCTCTTTGGGGGTTTCAGTAACAAGAACTCTGCCATTACCCATGGACTAACATCATTATTGTAGAAGTAGCTCCTGATTAAAGATTGGATCCCCCACACACACACCTCCTGCCCTTCTACCTTCTGTCCTGGGATAACACAGCAAGAAAGTCTTTGCCAGGCCTGGTGATACAGCTCAGTGATGGAGCCTCCACTGGTGTGCATGAAGGTCTAGCCAAGCTGAAGAAACCGGAGCCCAGTGCCCAAAGGTGATGGCAGGCTGGGGTTCTTCAGAAACAGGCACACTTCCTCCCTTCCCTTCTTATTCTACCAGGTTACAGACCCGCTGGTCAGGACCTCTCAGTTGGCTGGGCTACCTGCCAGTCATCCGTAGACACCAGAACTGTGCTTTTCTACTCTGCCAGGCATTTCCTAATCCAGTCAAGATAACACATCGGGATTAATGACCACAATACATTTTTATGACATCCTTGAATACACGTAAACATTCTCCAGATAACTTTTCATTAAAATGTCACAAGACTTCGGAGATTTTCAAAGTTAGGGAAAATTTTGACTTTCTGATCATGGCTAAAACTCATGAAGTACAGTATGCTTCACTCCTTGAATGCTAGTCACACCCTCTGAGGTGAGATTATTCATCCCCAATGCAGAGGTGAACTCAAAGCACTTAACTCATGATATAGCACTAGCAAGTGCTATCACTGGGATGCAAATCTACACGCAGGGTCCACAGCTCACGTGCCTAAGAACTACACTGCACAGATGAGAAATGAATCGTATGTGTCTTAGTCCAGCTTTCGCATCTCTGTGTGCTTCACTTCTGCAGAAAGGTGACCCCAATATAAAGAATGGGCTTTGAATCCCACACTCAGGCAGGCTTTTCAAGCGCACTGCAAACCGATGTGGGGAGGCAGTGTGTGCGTGTCACTGGGATGCAGTTATAAGTGACAAACACTGTGCTGTGCAGTTTACCCGCACAGGACCCAGCTGAGGCAGGGTGCTGAAGCACCCACAACTGAATGAGCACAGAACCCTCAAGAGCTCCATGGAAACAAGTGCAAGGGGGCTTTGGGAGACTGGACCCTGCAGAGGTTCTGACACACCCCTTCCAAATGTCAAGCATCCTCTCCTGCCCCCTGCTGATGTTTTATGACGTGGGCTGAACTGTACATCTTTCCAAGATTAAAGGAGAGACTGTGTGCATCAAACACTTCAGCTTCTTTATCAGAGATAATCCATGGCATTGTTTATAATGAGAGCAAAGTCATACAGCTGTGTTAAAAAGAGTTTCTATAGTAACAATTTCTCTAATCAAGCAGAGAGTTGACACATTGTGCTACTGAGAATTTCCTCAGCTTCTAACAGCAAGAACTGCATATGATATTTTAGGCTTTATTTTTACTTTATGTCAAATGTTACCTCACTTCATATCAAATCTTACATCATTTACAGAGTAGCTCATCTTCATCCTTCATAGTTAAGGGCAAATCCTATTGATTGGGGCATAGCTAAGGATGAAAAAAAAAAGTATCTCACCAGAACATGAGCAGAGGAAAATGCATATTTTAAACAGTTGGTAGACTTACTTGTCAATAATCTCTATTGTCTATAAATACATTTCTTGGATTAGTAAAGAAAAGTGAGAACACATGGCTCTGTATTTCACACCTAGGCAGTGTGTGTGTGTGTGTGTGTGTGTGTGCCAGAAACTGAACTCAGGACCTTGCACACTTGCCAAGCAGGTGCTATTCGCTAAGCTCTATCCCCCACCCACCTAGGAGATTCTTTACTCACATTGTTATTCACACATCATCAAGGACCCTCCATTCTGCTTTCCTCTCAGTGACACATGTGTCATATGATAATAAAAAGTTTTCCTGCTCAGAGACAAGCATTTTACAGGTTCCTTGCAAAGTTTTGTTCTGTTGTAACAACTGTCCCAGCCCCTCCAACTCCTTGTTAGTTGCATCAAATCAAAGAGAAATTATTTCAGAGTGATCACGACCGTGGTGCTGGTCAGGTCACCACTGGGTGCTTCTGACACCACATCACAGACTTAGCTCAGCAATGGAGCTAAGGTCAAAGGCACAAGTCATTTGTAGAGGAGGACAGCATTTAGTGACAATTGGAAGGTTGATCTCTATCCTCACAATAGTGACACATGCTTGCCGGGGGCCAGGATAGATCCGTGGCCGGTCCTCATGGACCCTCCTCAAATGCAGTATCACAGCAGCCTCTCCAGGTTCAGACAGGAAGTAAGCAGTGTACTGGATGTGAGTGTGTTAATAAGAGCTTGGGAACGATGGCTTGCACCAATCATGGTTCCAGTAAAGTGAGAAAACAACAATGAAACACACACTCCAAATCACTAGTGCACGATGCCAGCATTCTGTGCACTCACTGAAGCACCAGGGCTGGTGTTTGTTCTGTGACATCCCTGCTTCCCTTGGGTTTCTGCGAGGGAGAGCTGGGAACTTGTCCTTACTGTTTTCTCTTGTTTCTTTTTTAAGTGGGTAGATGAATGCATAGTAACCATGAAAAAGCCAGCATCTCTAAGTGAAAAGCCTCCCCGAGGATTTCAGGAGTTTGCTGTTACATGGATTTGTGAAAGGCAGGCAAATCGCTTGGCCAGTTACATTTTCCATTCCTGTTAGCACACAATTGTTATTTCCAGTAAGTCCAGAAACTATTTTACAGTATCAGTTATGGTTGCTTCCTCTGACAAGTCCCCAGGTACCTGAATGTGAGGACCTTCTGTGACCTGGGTGCACAGCCCTCAGAACACATCTGGCAGCCTGCATCTTCTCTCACAGCAGTTAGGACACTCTCCTGTCTGCTCTCCTAGGCTCACCTTAACCATAGCTGTGTAACAGTAGAGGTAAGGTGCGAGCCTGCTGGAGCTGGGTGGTCTCCAGAGTGGCCTCTGCTCTCACCCAGGGCTCCCAGGTGAGGTTCCAGCATGGAGTGAGCTGTCCAAGGCTCCTGTGCACAGGATGTTTTCTGCAGGAAACCCTGCTCCTGACCTGCCTGTGAGGGTGACCCGCTCAGGAGTCAGGGCAGCAGGCTGGTGAAGCACCTGCTGGGCTGGGGTCGTTAGCTGGGTCCCGGTGTTTAACGGGCAGGGGTGGAGCAGGGGGTGTCCTCGCCTCAAAGAGGACCCCGTGGACATTGCCCTTCTCGGCCTTGGGGCGCAGCTGCTTGGGCTCAAGAGTTCGGGCTGCGGTGCCCCTGCCCTGCGCGTACACTGCGGTCTCGCTTGTCACTGAGCTCCCAGCCTGGGCAGCAGACCCTGCCTTTCTTTCAGTCGCCAAGACCTGAGCAGACTTGTGATCCCCAGCGGAGCTGGCCCTGGCCTTCGCCCTTCCCCACAGGCCTCCCCCGTGCTCCCAGGCTGAAGTCTCCCTTTGCGCATTTGGTCACCAGCTGGCCGGCTGCTTCTTCTGTTGCTCACTGCGCAGCAGCCTGGCAGTTGCCCAGCGGGTGAGAACTCTGCCAGCCTGACCCACCTTCAGTGTCCGGCCCGTCGAGCCCCACCCCCACCCCCCGCGGACTCGCGGGTCCCTAACCCTCTCTCCTCCCCCACCCCGGCTCCTCCTCCAGGTCTATAAGAGCGGCTGCTAGCGAAGAGCACCCTGAGCTCGCGGGAGCCTTGCAGTAGCATGTGCGGGTTCCCGGGGACATAGGGCTCTGCCTGGCGCCTGCCTCGGTTGTCCCCGCGCGGCCTGGGTGAAGGGCGGGAGAGACAGGAGGGGCTCTAAGCAGGCACTTGGGCAGCTGCCAGGCCTCACAGATCCCTCGGCGGCGCTTCACCCTGCACCAGCGGGTGCCCAAGCCCTCCACGTCCCCTCCTCCCTCTGCAAGCTGACGGACGCGAGGGACATGGTGGCCTCTGGCAGCGCGCAGAGCGGTGAGTGTCCCCGGAACCACCCAGCCCAGCCCTCGCCCCTCCCCTGCACCCCAAGGCCCGTCCACATCCCAGGGCCTCTGCACCCCAACGTCCCTTCCTTTCTCATCCAGTACACTGCAGCCCAGTCTGGCTCGTCGGTCCACACCTTCCCTCTGCTCTGCCCTGCCCACCACCGCCCTACTGTCCGCTCTCTGATGACCAAGCAGACCCTGCCTGTGCTTAGACCCACATCCCCTCTTGGAGTCATTAGAGTCACAGGCAATGACAGCGACTCCTCCTGAGCCTTACAGGGAGCAAAGGAGTGGCCCGAACTCAGGGGATTCCTGGATTAGAAGGAAATGAGGTCTGACCCAGCTCTGTGGGCCAAGCTGCCCCAGCCCTCCATCTGCAGCTCAGGTACAGCAGGAGCCCTTGACAGTTGTTAAAGAAAAAACGAAGAAAGAAAAAAGAAAGAAAGAAAGAAAGAAAGAAAGAAAGAAAGAAAGAAAGAAAGAAAGAAAGAAAGAGAAAGAGAGAAAGAAAGAAAGAAAGAAAGAAAGAAAGAAAGAAAGAAAGAAAGAAAGAGAAAAAGAAAAGAGAGAGAGAAAAAAAGAAGAAAGAAAGAGATCTACCCAAGTGCAGGCACCTAGGAGAGCAGGGAGCCCAGGGAGGCAAGGCCCTGGGACAGTGGACACAGCTGAGCCAGCAGGGACTGCAGGTGGTGTGGTCACCTGTCGCCCTGGGGCATTAACTTGGGAAGTGGGGATTCAGTGCTCAGATATCTACTTTCCTTTGAGCAAATCTAATTCTGTTTTCCTGGGACTGTTTTGTTTTGCTTGGCTAAGAAAAACCAGCAGTTAAAAATAACTTTGTAGCCTCACAGGTCTTCTCATGAGCTGTCCTTCACCACAGGGCAAGGCAGGGCTCGTCCCAGGGGAGGCTGCAGACACCGCAGCAGCTCAGTGGATCTTCGATCTCCACCGCCAGGCTCAGGACCGACTGACACACTGCAGAACCACAGCAAAATTCCTTCTGCACATGTATTCCTAGAGTTAGAAAACTCTCCCCCCAAAATAATAACAGTAAACAAGAAAGAAAACCACGGGTCACCTTGGATAACCCCAAATAGGTTTTTGAGAGTCTTTAAGATTATGTACACACATATAAATTTAAAGAAAAACAGTTATTATTGTAAACCCAAATAAGTGAGTCCCGTTATCCAAGTATTGTAGTCTTCTTTTCAGTTTTCCTCACAATCCAAAAAGTTATATTTGTAATCCAACTGAGACATTATTGGAGTCCTACAAGTTAATTTCAATCTACCATCACCAATCCAACCCACGGCGAGAGTAGAAACACCAAGACATATTCCAAGTTAAGGGCAGCCAAGGGGTCCTAAGTCCAATTCCCATGAGGACATGTGGACAAAGGCCCTGATCGTAGGCCTCTCCCAGGATTTATTGTCTTGTGAAGAAGTGGGGTGGCTCAGGGATGAGTGACAGTGAGGATGGCGGAATTACATGAGTAACTTGAGCTGGCTGGCCCGGGGCAAGATTGGCATCTCTGTAAATTGCAGAGGTAAAGATATGCAGAAGGATCGATTTATGTAATCCAATTAGGGTAGCGGTGAAATTGTTTTGTGGGGATATTGCTTTGGTTTTTGGTATGCAAACTCTTGTGCCCTGGGCAGTCACAGCCTCTTATCTTGAGGCTCTGACAGTTGACATTTTTAGAGCTATTTGCTCTAACATCTCACAAGCTCAATCCTGTACACAGAAAACAATACCAAGGAAACAGGACTGTCTGTTGGCTATAGAGATGGCATAATAGCACCTTGACTAACCTTATTTGCAATGCTTAGAGCCAATTGAAGAGAAAAAGCAATATCCTAGCCAGTTTTTTACCTCAGTATAAGGAAACGAGTCTCCAAATAATCAAAGTCACAGTAACTGTTTTGGATTCAAAGGGAGTCACTAGAGTTGTCTCCCACAGTTACATCTTTTCTACCTTATTTATCCAACCCATCACCTCATAGATAGCCTTTCAGGACTTCTTGCATCACCTCCCTAGTCAGCTAGGCGAGGCTGGGGATCACCCGGAGCATCAAGCAGATCTGCAGGCAGAGGCAGCAGGTGTTACCTTCGAGTGTTTTGCAGTCCTGGACCCCCAGCCCCACCCCCACTCATCTAAATTATTTGTTTCATGCAGACTTTGACTACTGGGACTATGCTGCCCCTGAGCCCAACCTGCGGCAGGTGGTACTCGAGGAGCCTGCGTGCTGGAGCCTGGCTGCCATGCTGGAGCAATGCCTGTCCAGGTCCAAGCAGACCAAACTGGGCTGCTCCACAGTGCTGGTGCCTGAGCAGCTGACCCGACGCATCGCCCAGGACGTCCTGCGACTGTCATCCACAGAGCCCTGTGGCCTGCGGAGCTGCGTGATACAGGTGCAGCTGGAAGCAGGCGATGTGTGCAAGAGGCTGGGCCAGATCGTGTGCGACACCAGCATGGCACCCACATTCGAGCTGACGCTGGTGTTCAAGCAGGAGCCCCGCTCCTGGGACGGCTTCAGGAACATCTTCAGCAGAGGCTGCCTCTCCTCTGGCCTGGGGCGTACACTGATTCTCAGCCCAGGCTTCCGACTTGTCAAGAAAAAACTGTACTCTCTGCTGGGACCCATGGTCACTGAGGGGTGCTAGGAAGGACAAACATTCCAGAGGTTCTTTAGGGAGAGGGTAATAAAAATGCACAGCTGCTCAGGCACAGGCATCCTTAGTGTGATCTGCTGCCCTTAATTAGGCCACTTCTTTTCATTTGTCCTTAGACTTGGATCAGCTCTAGAGGTGGTTTTTTGGCTTTTGAGCAATAACCCAAAAAAGTACATTTTATACATATATCACGTTTCTATCAAGTTTTTGTGGAGTTTTTACTCTCTTAGATTTTCTATTTGACTCCACAATCTTTTGTGGTCATTCTTAGGAACCAGGGGTCCCCCATATGTGTTCACAGTGCTTGTCCTCTAAGCGCCCCTTAACTGTACACAGTGGTGCTCAGTTCCTGAGGCACCCAGAAGCCCAACCCAGCTTCCGCTCACAGTTTGAGCTCCTAAGAGCTCCCTTGTGTGACAGTGAGGAAGACACGTAACAGAAGCCCCAGTGGCTCACACTGGTGCCGTGTCCTCATGTCTTGGTGACTGAGTGGCTGTGGTGGTGCTTCAAGGACCCCTGTACCAAGCTCAGTCCTCCTCCTCCAGGACTGAGCACGGCCTCTGCACCAGACAAGGGGTAGTGTCGCCCTTTCCGTGTGACGCTTGGTTGATGCCATCCAGGGAAAACTGATTCCGGGGCCAGGAAGACGGGAAGGAGCTGGCAGTGCAGTCCCATTCGATTCTGCTGGGCAGCGCCACTAGCTGCTGGGGTCCAAGTGAGGGGGAGGGCAGGGCTCTCCCCAGTCCTGGTCCACGGAGATGCCAGGCTGAGCTGCACCCATCACAGTGAGTGACCAGATATGGGGATTCACAGAAGGCTCACACTGCATGAGAAAGACCACAGGTCATATCCCTGAGTCCAGTAATACCAGCTCCCTCCCGCCAGGCAGGAATAAAGACTAATTAGATCATTGCCTGTTTCTTGCGCATTAAGGAGAGAATTTCCCTCCCATGGCCCTGCTCCGTGGGCAAGACCTTCTCCCCCTGGCTGTGGTCAGGAAGACCCTCAGGTCTCTGCCCAAGTGGCAGCACTGCTTCATACTGGAGGCTGGGCCCAGAGACCAGAGGCTTTATGCTGGTGTTACAAAAAGCCACCCTGTTACTGACCCTTCAAGTGGCCAGAAATGTCACTGCTCAGGAAATCAGAGCATTTGTTGGCTTCTGACAAATCCAGCTCTGTAAGGTTTAAGAAGACAGGGGAAGTGCATAAAGGGGGATCTAGCTCATTAAGGGCTCTGAAGACTACGGTGTCACTAATCCCTCCTCTCCAAGCCTAGGTCTCCCAGGGTGGGGGTCACGCTGTCCTCTGCCACCAGCAGGGTCCTCTCTCTGCCCAGGACAGCAGCGGGAATTCACCCAGCCTCCTATACCAGTATTCCCATTAAAGGAAACTGAAGTTTGTCTATTTTTGACAATAAATTTAATTCTCTTGTCTTCTGTCTTTTCTGAATTTATACTATGATCACCCTAAGATATATCTGGCAATCTTCAGAGAAAGTTAATAAGACAGTTATTCCCCTTTTTGGCAAAGCCAATTTGTATCCTCAGTTTTAATATTCCAGTTGCCTTTAATACATGTGCTTATGCATCAGTAAAGAGTGGTTTGCTTAATAACTTTTAAGCATTTCATAATATTTTGTATACAGACATTAATAATTTGAGCTCCTCTGGCAACTGCTTTTTTTTTCAGAACAGAACAATTTAAGCAACACAGTATTTCACCACAAGACAACCCGATATACAGAAGCTACCATAATGTCTCTTTCTTTGAAATAGTTGAGCATACCTTCATATACCATAGTATCAAACATAACAAAATAGTATAAAACCATTCAGGAGAATGAAAATATCACAGGGTATTCAGAACCAAATAACAGAAAACGAACAATTTGTACTATATTATTTCATTGTCCATAAAAATTTATTTATACTATCACACATAATAAAATTCAATAACTAACAACATGATAGAACCAATGGAAACAGAAGAACAAAAGCATGATAGGACTTCAAAGCAAGTTGATATAAAATCAGCACTGGCTATTATAATGCCTTGTTTTCTTCAAAACAGCTGTTTATACCATCACACATAATAAAATCAAACAAAACAGAATAAAACCATTCCAACTAATGAATGAAAACATTATAAGGCTTCAAAGCAACGTAATGGGGAATCATGATTACCATAATATCTTATGTACACTTACCATTTCTTACACGAAGGAGACTATATGGTATTTATACATATGAGTTTGATTTATTTCACTTATGAGTATGGTCTCAAGTTGCATCCATTATTTATAAATATCTCAATGTGATCATTCTTTATAGCTGAGTAGTACTCCATGAGATAAAAATACCACAACATTTTTATGCATTCCTCAGTTGATGGACACTTAGGTTGTTTCCAAGATCTGGCTGTTACAAATTGTGCTGCTATAAACATGGGTGCACCTATATCACTGTGGTATGATGCTTTCAGTTCTTCTTGGAATATGCCTAGAAGTGGAGTAGCTGGACCAAATGGGACTTGCACTCCCAGCTTTTTGAGAAACCTCCAGACTGATCTCCACAAAGGCTACACCAGTCTACACTCCCACCAACAGTGAAGGAGAGTTCCTTTTTCCCCACAGCCTCTCCAGCATTTGTTGTTGGTGGTTTTCTTAATCCTAGATTGGGCCTTTGAATTTCGGGGTCTGATTTTTTTTAATTCTTTATATGTTTTAAACAGAAGTCCTTTGTCTGAGGGGCAATTCTGGCAAATACTTTTTAAAAGAAAAATCTCAAAATTTACCATTTAAAGGTTCTGGGTGGCTTTTCTGATAACCAACACAGCGACTCTGGGTACAGGCTCAGCGTGCCCTTCCTTATTCAGTGTACCCTATCTGAATGGCAGAGGTAGCTGTAGTAGGCCCCTCACCAACCTCAACTGCTAATCCTGTGCACCTGTATCTTCTGCCTCTCGAGTTTATGGACACTGCCCCACTTGACACTCCCAGCGACCCACCATTTGTCTAGGGCACAGAGCACGAGATGTTGAGTGTTCAACCCCATCCCAGGAGCTTTAAAAACCACCCACTGCTCCTCAGCAGCAGTGCTGTCACATCTAATTTATAAATAAGAACAAGGTCAAGGACAAGTCACTGGCTGGGAGACACGAGCCATGCGGCAGCCACGGCCTTGGCTGCCTGGCCCAGGAAGACAGACTAGGGCTGTGAGTTGCCAGACACCCACTGTGGGCTTACACTCCAGACAGACAACTCCAGCCAGGCTTCCTGGGCAGGCAGGAGGGAGGATGCCTACCCTCCTGGGGACAGGGCCAGTCCGGAAAGAGGTGCATAGTTCAGTCCCAGCCCCTTCTGCTCCTGAGCAGTCGCCTGCAGACTCGGGGAATGGTGGTGGCAGTGATGCTCTTCTGACATCCGGTGGAGGCTGGCAGTGGAAGGGAGCAGAAGTGTGGTCCTGTTGTCGGGGCCTGAACCCTGCCTGGATTCCGCCACAGAATGCAGACTTGGAACCTCTGTCCTTCCTCCACATCGGCCTCAGATAAAAATCGGTTAGTGGGGGCACCTCCCAGCGTGGATATGGCACACAGTTCTGTCTTCATCCACAAAAGCCAGGCAGCATGGACAGTGGCCTGGTGGACAGAGCCTGGTGAGCTGCTGTGTGGGGGAAGCCCGGACACCAACCTGCTCAGATATGGAAGGGGCTCAGTGGACACCTGGCTGAGTCTCCTCCCAGCAAAGGGCAGTGCTGTCCACAGCAGTGCAAGGCCAAGCATGGGGGAAGGGGACAGAGACACGTACAGAGTAGCATTCAGGAATCAGTCCCAAGCTGAATACATGAGAAGGAAATTTTAGGAGACACTAGAACTTTTGTGATTTTGCTGTGAGGGAAAATTTTCTAAATAAGATGCAAAACTGCACTGAAATGTCCATCAAATAATCCTACTCAGTGGGTAAAATTAAAATGCTTGAGCTTGGAGAAAGTATAGTGAACACATGTAAGTGAAGAAGGCATTAACTAGAACTTAGCAAGAATTCCTGCAGAGTGACAAGCAAAGCACAAACAGCCAGGAGAAATATATGGGTGAAATCCTGACGTGATCCCCTACAGAAAAGACTGAAAATAAAAAAAATAAAAAAAAAACCCTCAGCGTAGTCATCAAGAAAATGCAAATTAAAAGCATTGTTAAGATATTGTAGATACAGATACACATGTGTCTTGGCAAAGAAAACTGACATTTTGGAACATGAGAAAGAAAATATGTGTTGATATGTTTATTTCTGCAGTCTGGCATGATTTTGTCAAGTTGATGATAAGCATGCTGTATGAACCCATAATTCTACTTTTAGTTATGAAATAATGTTCTTCAAGTTTTTCTGTTTATTGCACATCTAAAAGAACTCATTAGAAAGGGAAGGATTAGGGTGCATTATGTATGTGTACCAACTCCAACAATCAATGTATTCATCATGTAAGGCGAATGGATTAGTAAAAATAAGTAGGTAAAACAGAAAGTGCCTGATGTCATATTTTAAATTCCCATTAAAATTTATCACCCTAATTTTAAAATGTTGCAAGCTGTAATAAAACTATTACATCTGCCTGTTAAGTTCTTTCAGTGAGACATAAATATGGTTACTTGACACCAGCATCTATTTAGAAAACACTATTTTAACATTAGGTCACAAACACAGCATCATTTCAGGGGTGTTCTTTCTTTGTTCCTTTATCTTTTCAAAATCTACTTTTTATGCTGAATTTTACTTTAATGTAACATATTTTAAACTTGAAAGTTCCTGATTATTATCTTATAATGAAAAGTAGATTATAAATTGAAATTTAAAACTTTGAAATATTTGGAGTCAATTTTTATCAAGTTCACTTTAGATTTAATATTGTACACTGGACAACACAACATTAAATGTTTTCCAATTTTATAAATATCATTATGAAATAATAACTACAAGTTTCTCTTAATGACATGAATCCTTAGTTAATTATTTGTGGACAATTAGGTTTTATTCTTTTCAAAAAAAGCAATAAGAACTTTGGGAGTAAAAAAAAACCCAAAAAGTGTAACTGTTATTAAAAAGAGAGGAAAGGAAGGTGATCTAAGGGATATAACTGCATGTATGTTTGAGTGTGTAGGATGGAAATCCATATTACTGAGCTTTTGTTGGATCATTGAACGGCACTGTCTGCAATCTCATTATATGAATTTTCACTTTACATGCTTTAATTTTATAATTTGGACAACTGTTTCTAAAATGATAATATATAACCTATTAACTAGTGATATCTTACTGTATTTTTTTTTCTTGGAATTCTGTATTATTTGTACCCTTTTACTGATTTGTTTTTTTTTTTATTTCCTTTCTTTTTTCTCTTTAAATAAAAAAAAATTCTGTGGACAAATACAAAGGTTGGAGTTACTAGAATTCAATGGTTAAGCATCACCTCCTATTTTGTTGCTGTTTCTATCAATATAAATTCTGAAAAAAATTATTCAAATCAATGAGATGGGAATGGAGATTTGGTCAATATGGTCTCACTAAATCTTTGAACTAATTTAAAGATATATGCCAGAACCACATGAATATTTATCACAAACATAATCTATGTTTCAGGCTGGGGTTAGAGTTCAGGGATACACACTTGCTTAGCGCATGCAAGTCCCTGGGCTCAATTTCTAGTACAACAAAAAGCACGGGAAAGTACTATTACGTGATCAGTCTGCATATAATCCAAATAGATGTTTTTCCGTCATTGTTTGGGGAAGGGTTTGTCACCTAGGTGTGTTATGTTAGTAGCTGTCATAACAAAACACCACAGAGGCAGCCATGGATTTCTGCTCGGGGTACGAGGTATCAGGCTTCCCACAGCTGGGCTTCTCCTGACAGCTCCACC